TTGGATGTAAGCATATTAGGAAAGATAAATCGTCCATGATGTTTACGATGTTCACGGCAGGGTGGATGGGTTAGCCAATCTGCACTCTCCTGTTGACAAAAACTTTATGACTACAGAACTTACACCTTGGTTAGACTTTGTCCTGGGACAGGGGCTACATTACTGTTCCAGCAGTAACAGGTGGGCCTGTGACAGGCCCCAAGTCAAAGGCCTACTGTAAGAGAAGAGTGTCAGAGGTACTTAGTGGAGATTCAACATTGCTTTTTTATTCCTAGAAAGACTTATTATGGTCTAACATATTTTCCTTCACATCTCCCTGGTCTGGTGAAGCCTTATCTGATCTTAAAAAGTTTTTAACTTAAGAACTATTTTAATGTTTTGGTTTGGTTTGGTTTGGGGTGAGATTCTTAGGGAGAATGAAATCTTCAGGTTTTTCTTTTAAAAATAGACATTTTTGCATGAAAATCCTCTTGGATTAAAGGGCAGTGACTATATAGGGAAAGATTCTACAATGACAATTGTGGAACTGATCACACAAAGCCTTTGTATGCAATTAAAAAAAAATTGTTTTCCTCTCTACTGCAAGGAAACTATTGGATTTCAACACCACTGTGTCAGGCTCACTCAGTATGGCTTTCAGATATAACAGACAATTAAAACATTGAATAACCCTCCCACTTGGCACTGCCCTAAAATTGCATTGTTAACCTTGGAAGCTAATGCAGTTGAAATAAAAAAAAAGACAAACGTAAAGACAACAGGTTTTCTTGTCAAGCTTAAAACAATGTTTCTGAGAGAGAGAGAGAGGAAGAGAGAAAGAGAATAAGAGAGTGCCTGAATGGGACAATTAATAACTGTAAATTTATACTTTTATATTTTATTTTTATTCAGAGAACTCAGCAAACCACCAATATTAAGCACTCACCAGTCCTTATATCTTATATCTTTATACCTTATCCTTATATCTTTAATTTCATTTTATCCATGGACTTCGTGTAGTTTCCATCAGGTTTTGGATCTCAGTGGAGGCGGTGGTGGTGAGGAGGGCACCGTGTTGTCATCGGGCCTGTTTATTGGTTAAGATGATCTTGGATTCAAAGGGTCCTTCTGTTTGCAGGTCATGGTGAGTTTTATGTGTGTTTGTGTGTGCACGCGCGTGAAACAAAGGCTAGAGGTCTGCTGGCAATGCCTTCTACCTTTGTTGATCTAAACTCTCAATGGTCTTTTTCAAAAGTACCTTTCTGTATTGTCATAAATTACTTGAACCAGTAGAATTTTCGCTTGACCTTTTCCTTTGCTCTTGCTTTCATGGGAAGCTAAGCTCTTTCCCTGGCGTCAGTGAAACGAGAAAGCAAAGGACTGGCAGTGATTGGTTTCTCTCTGTGGTTCTGTTGGGCTTCGACTCGTGGTTGGAAAATCACTGGTTCCTGGCTGGCCTGAGTTTCTGCATCTTCGTTTTTATTGAACATTGCTCTCCTCACTCAATCAGTAGTAAGTAAAATCCTGCTCTGTGATGACACAATAAAGCAGGAGAGGGACACTGTGAAAGCGTAGCGTGTATATCTTATAAAGCACTATGAATTGTTTGTCAGCACGCTTCATAATGTTTTGCAATTTTAGTGGAAGAGAAAATGTTAGCCTGCATTTTGCTGACTAAGGCCTTGCCCCTATCATCTTAAAATTGAGAATGTTCAAAATGTTCTCACTGCAGCAGTTAGTGTACATTGACTATCACATTCCAACAATTGAATCAGATGAGGAACTAAAGCTCCAAAATTATAATGTCCCAACATTATAAAGAGGCCAGGGGAAAAACAGGACCCAAAACGCCATCAGTAGTACTTACCCCCAGCACACCTACAGACGGGAAGGCACAAGCTGCCTGTGAAACCGTGGTCAGGGCAGCCACCTTGGAGGGAGGGGTTCTTGACCTTCTGGCCATCTCTGAGCATTTGCCTTGGGGCAAATAAAACCTGAAACATGGTATTTTTCAATATGCCTAACTCATTCTAAGCCTGCGAATGATCACCATGTTGCATGAATTTTGTAACTAGCCTGTGAAAGTTGGCTGCCGCCCCATGGCCAAATTTGAGAGTGGTTGCTGGGTCTGGTCCAGCGATAATCACTCCGCTGCAGTTATAAATCACGGGGAGGTTGTGAAAGAGCATCTGTAAGAGGCTGACTACTTGACGCATTTTTCTCCTTCTGGGAGACTATAGAGAAACAGACATTAATAGTCAAACTGCCTTCCTCTGGGTAGGGCGCCAGCATCAGACCTCCCCTCTCCACTACAATCTCAAGCCCCATCTTCCTTCTCTCTTGTGTCTTTTCCATGTATCTATTTCTGTTCCTCCCACTGACAATGCTGCCTTCGTTTTTAAAAGACTTACCATCCCACCATGAATAAAGTCATTACAGTTGTTTTGAATTCCAGAGCATTTGATTGATGTGGCTATTGGTATAAGCAGCATCCTCCTCTACTTGGAATAAATGTCCAGCCTGTCTTTGGGAAATTGACTCATAGTGGGGCTATGGAGCTGAAGTGTGAGGACTAGAGATACAGAGCGGTATCTCCAGTTAGATTAGAGATGATGCTTGGAAATTATCACTTGAAGCCCTGAAAATGAGTGTTATCTCCTGATTCACTGATCCTATTTCCTTAGGACTTTCAATTCAGGGTGATACCATTTACCTATAATTATCAAGACTTTTTTGCCTTTTACTATATCAATAGCAATTGGCATCATTGAAATTTATGACATTGTAATTTTATACAATTTTAGAAAAGATCTAACAGTGATCTAATCTAATAATTCAATATATTAAAATGAATCCTAAAATTAAAGAAAAAAAATCAAGAGAAATAACAAAGAAAAATAGATTGGCAATATAAGGACCCATAAAACATTAAAAAGTCCTTAAAATATTTTGATTTGATTTTTACCTTTGGGTGAAGGCAATGATGCTGTTTGAAACTTGGCAAACCATTGGTAGAGAACTGAAATCAAACAAAACAACAAAGAACTGGAATAAAAATCTTCACTGAATCTGTTACCTCTGTAAGAGCCAAATGTAATTTTGAAAGCGGATGCCAATCCCCAAGTGGTCCAGGTTACTGCCTTTGCTCTTTTGAATGTGCTGGCTGATTATGGAGCTAATAATAAATATAATTGAAAATCACTGTTGGATCCTTTGAAATTTGCTGCCCATGTCTTGAGAAAGAATGAAAAAAACAGACAACAACAACAACAACAAAAAATAAACCTCGGGGGAAACTCTTCAAACAGTGCTTTAACTATTCAGAATCAACAGTTATGGTGTCAGATTCCCCCCAAGAAGTTAACATTGATTAGAAAATATAATATTAACTCAAGAAAACACTATAATTTCCTATCTCTAATAAATGTCACCAGGGCAGTCATCATCCTAATTACTGGATTTCTGCCTTGCACTATCTGAAGTTAATTTTTTTTTTTATTTCTAAACAAATATGTGACCAGAACAAAGTACCTCAATTAATCAATTATTGTCAGCCAGCTTCATCTATGACTTTGGAAATGACGCAGTAAGACAAAGTGGTTCTTTAGTAGAAACAATGTCATGCTGTCTTGGCTTTCATTTTAGAGTGGGATTTCTGCAATGAATTAATACTCTCTGGAAATGGTGCAGAGCTACAATAACAGCTTTCTGGTTTTGATTATAAGGCAGAATGATTTCTGGCTTTCTGTAATATTTGCATTGTGAATGGGATTCCATTTTTTCCTCATTTAGATGCAACGATCAGGTGAGAGAAATCTGAGCCTGTTCCATCAAAGCCTTATATTGTGACCAGAATATAAATTACTTGATTCTGATTCTTTTAAACATATAGCTTATTTTGAAACAGAGAGAGTCCTTGGGCAATGCACAAATGAGAATTTGAGACGGTGTTCAAGACGCCAGGCACAGTTAAGCTGAAGTCACCAAGTACTGCTGTGGACTCAAGGTAGTGAGCTGTGTACCTCTCCACCAAAATGCTTTCATGCCATTCTTCTTTCTAAGGAGTTAGATTTTCAATATAAAGAGTAATATTAATACAGCTTAAACAGAAGCAGGATGGTGGGGAGGAATGTTATCCCAAACCATCGCCATATTCATAACTCCGAGGAGATTGCTGATTGAGATAAGAGGCATCATAGCCCATCAATTCAGCAGACAGAGCTGTGAAGAGTGAGGAAAATGGAGTGGTGAGTTCTAATCTCCCCTCAGACCTAGGAAGATTACTGAAATTCCTTTCCCTTATATAAGTTTCCTCCCCTGAAAATGGGATGGTGATGATGTGTACCTAATTGCAAGGCTGATCAAAGTCTCTGAAAAGGGCTTTTTCAGAGAGATAGTTCCCTATGCTTAATAACCAAAAAATCACTCAAGGCTGAACTATACTTTCTCAATGTACAGTGAAACCTCTTATTCCATTATTATGGTTTATACTTTCAATCAGTGCCATTTCCAAGCCCTTGGAATTTCCCATGTAGAAAGTTTTTTAATACCAGTTTAGCTCCACATTGAACATGAATTCCTTTCCCATGTGACTGTCCTAAAAATATTTGAAACAGCTGTCATGATCCCCTTAAGTATTCTTCTCTCCAGACTAAGCAAGTCCAGTTCTTCGTAGACCATGGTTTTAAGTGCTCTTGTTGTCCTAGGCTCTCTGAGCTGCAAGGGTTTCTGTTTACTAAGGTGAATTATTGGGAGCAAAATATGGGGCTCCCCTTGTGGTCTGTCCATGCGGAATCTGGCAAGAATTGTCACTCTACTTATTCAGCCTACCATGGCTCTTTAAAGACAGCTGAAGTCTAATCAGTTATTTTTGGAGGCCACATCAGATCACTGGCTCATGTTGAACTTGGAGTCAATTAAAACCACAAGCTTTTTTTCACACATGCTCCTGCTAAGCCACCTTGTGTGTATGTCGCTATATATAGTCATTATCTGTTGAGTGCTTGTTATGGGCAAGACAACGTGCTAAATGCTTTGCATCTTTTGCATCTCATTTAATCCTCTCATCCACTTTAGCTCTATATTGTAGATAGGCTGAGGCTCCCCCAAGTAGAGACTTGCCTGAAGGGGCCTGACTCCAAAGCAGGTAGGTACGCTTGAGCCTGATGCTATTCTGTGTTCTGTACGGATGTGAGCTTTTTGTTGCTGAGCTTTCTTGGAAGGGGGACACAGAGGACCCAGTGTCAAAGAGCAGAATTGGGTAAATATAAATTGAGTTAGGTCTGCCCATGCTTTTTGCCTACTGGAATCTTTCTGGGCCCTGATCTTGTCCCAGAATATATTAGCCATTCCCTTAAAGCTTCACACCACCCATGGTTTTCATCAGCTGCCATTACTACTCTCATTCAAGTGATTACTTCAAAAAATAGAACCAGGCCAAAGACAGAACCCTCCAGTCCACACCAAAGCCTCCATCATTGTTGGCACTGATCACCACTCTGATCGAGTTACAAATTTAGGGTACTGTGATTCAGCTCACATTGTTTCCTCCTTCATGAAGCCTCCTTCATGAAACATTCCTTCCATCATGAAGCCCTTGAAAAATTCCTTGCTGAAATTCAAGTGCAAAATTTCTGAAGTTTGCTTCTAATGAGTCTAGCACCACTGTCACAGACAGCAAGGAGGCCAGCGTGGCAAGAATTGTTCATAGTAAGACTGTGTTGGTTTTAACTGATCATCATTCCCTATGCTAAGTGAGCAGGGACCAACCCTAACTCTCCATTCTAGACTCTGGTTTGGGACTGATAGCAAGGTCATCAGCTTCCAGTTTACAGCATCAGCCTTCTTCTCCTTTTAAAAAATCTGTTCTGCATGTGACCGTATTTAATTTTTATGCAGTTTTCCCATTTTTCAGAATTCTTGAAAAATCAGTGACAGTGGTTGGATGCCCTCGTGTACAGGTTCCTTTTGTATCTCAGAAGGTATTTTTTTTTTTTTTTTGGCAAGGAGATTTGGACATATTTAGGACACATTATCGTATCTTTCGAAACTTTTCCAGATTAAATAACAATTTTATCTTACAAAAAAGATGGAAATAAAATGAGAGGTAAGTGGTTTTGTAGAGACTTCCATGTGATAATCTGCATTTTGTTCCATTTCCTTTTAAACTAGCGAGATGCCTGTGTTCTGTCAGTAAAGTGCACCACATCAGTCCTTCTCAGGTTGGGATCTGCTCTAAAAACTGGTGTTCCAAGGCATGTAGACACCCCTCCTATGTGATTTACTAGTATCCTAGGAAAACAACAGATTAGGAGGTAGACTTTACCAACTTTAATATACAGCATGACTCAGCTGAACAGAGAGCATAGAGCCTCTTCAATTTTTCTGTAATGAATTGCTCAAAATATAATAGCTAATTTGATTTTTCTGTCACACTCTTGCACCATTTAACTTTAGTCTGATACAACAATTTAAATGGTCTTTACAGGAAATATTGTCATTTGAAATCTTCTCCGAAGGTTGGTTTCATCTTCTTCTACTTTTTTCTCCAAGACCGTCATCCAGTTGGGGTGGCGTGACTTATATATCTTTATGGTATTGTGCAAAGGCGAGATGCTTAGCTTCATGCTGGTTCTCTGTTTGTACTGGCTTATTCTTGACTAGTCTCTAAAGTGATGGCCTGGGTATACTTGTTTTTTGGGTTTCCAGGTGCTCTGGTGGCCTCCCAAGTTGCTGTCTATGACCAGTACTGTGATCCATTCTTTGGGCTTGGATGTGCTTCCCTTGTGATGACTCAACTTTCTTTCGGCTCTCACAGGAGAAGACCCTAGGGTTTCTGTGATTTCTCCATCCAGTTCCCTGGACTAGTTTTCATTCCAGCCTTTGTTCTGAGGTCAGCTTGTCCCACCACAGTGGGGCTCATGGCCAGCTCTCAATTCAATATTCATCCCCTGCAGGAACCCAGCTTAGCTCATGAGTGCCAATCAGACCTACTCCCATAGCTGGGGGGTGGGAGGTGCCCTTGCCTTTGGGGTTCCCCTCACTCTGTTTGACGTTCCCACTCCTGCAGGCCAAGGAGAGGAGAGGCAGGAACACATCTTACTGTTGGCTCCTCTGACTTCTCTTGCTTCTCTGGTCCCTTTCCAATGTCTGCAAGGCAGAAAACAAAAAGCTGGCATTCCTTTGATTTCCCCACCATTATGAGCCATTTCTTTCCAGCTCCAGCTAAGCCATAATGGTGAGCGTGAGTTTCTTTTCTATGTCACAGCAATTCTTTCTGTCTGAGATGAGTCCTCAGAGTTTAGATGTTGATAGGCTGAAGGGAAGACAGAAGAATTGAATAGTTTTGTCTTAAGGCAATGAATGGCCTTCCAAGGCCATCCTCTTGCTGCTTATAGTCATGAGATAGATATGTCCCTCCTTACTGTGACTCTGTGTGGCCTTTCTAATGAAGTTCCTGGCACAGAGTGGAGCACTTAAAGTTATATCATTCTTCATTTCTGGAGAGTTGCCTTCATTCACTCAGGGGTAGGCAGCCATTAGTACTGGTAGACGAGGAAACAGAAAATGTCAGTATCTTTTCTTTGGATGAGAAAAAAAAAAAACATAATTTGATTTCATGAAAGTTTCCAGTGAATGACCATGCTACTATTGGGAAATGTATTTTGAATTCTGAAAGTTCACTTCCATAATCCCTAACAAGGTGCATGTGATGAAAGAGGAAATGACTGTGGTTCAAGGCAGGAGGATGGATTTGAGGTTAGGAGTGCTGAATTTTCAACCATCAGTAGGAACTTGCTGGGTTAACTCACATCAGTTGCTTAATTACTGCCTGCCTTATTTCCCTGGTTCTAAAGGGAAACAAGAAATGCTTACACAGTTAACACTTGCAAAGTAAGATGACACCAGGAAAGGAAGTGACTACAAGTTGCCTAAGCTTTGTCCCTATCACTTTTGACCTCTTTTCCATATATACTTTGCCAGTTGCCTCTAAAAATATGAATCCGCTGGTTCCACAGTTCTAGAACCACATGACTGTAATCCAACTCCTGGACCAAGCAGAGGCAGTGAAAATATTTCTCTCACTGCCCTGTCCCTCCAATCAATGACACAGCACGTACAGAAGGCCAAGATGGAGGGACAGAAACTCCTAGGTGACAAAATTAAGTTGTCTCCACAAAAGATGAGAAAAATTGGTTTATGAAGTTTTGGGTTTTTCTTACACAACATATACCCTTCATTTATTTCTTTTAAATTGTTAAAATGTATGCTTGATCTATTATATTATGTATTATATATATTATATAATAACATATTGTATATTTATATTATAATACATGTAAAGATAGAGGAAGGTTTTTTTCTATTATTTCCAACCATTATCAACCCTTTTGGTGTGTTGAACCACTGTTCATTTTCCAGCAGTTTGGGTGAGTGTAATCTGGGGTCTCTTATGGCCCCTGGAAGAACATCCTTGTGAGGCTGGGGCTTTCGCAGGAGCCGGGAGTGTGAAGGTCTCAGAACTCAGCAACATCTGAATTCAGCTGAGAACTGGCACGACCTGAAGTCAGCTCCCAGGACCCTCGGCAACAGACCTAAACTCCTGAGGAAGTGAGGTCTGAGGTGTAAGGGCATGGATGTTTTCCCTTAAAACTTTAAACATTGATAATAATCCCAGGTTACACTAGGCCAAGACAAAATCTCAGGAGCCAATGTAGGTTGCAAAGGTATTTCTTTTCTCTTAGGAAAGAAGATAGTTCTCCACTCTGACCGCAGACCACAACTCCCGGTGGGATTTGAGGTGGTAACAGCCCAAATACCCTCAGCTGCCAATCTGTGCACAGGGACATTCATATTTGCTGTTGGCGTAAGCCTGATTTTTTAAAAAAACATCTCTCTCAGTGCTCTGTAGTTTTTGATTGCTTATGAAAAGGAGGAGGAAAACATTACAGGCGTGTTTTTATATTTTTCTCCTTTTGCTTATATCATTGTCTTCTCTCGTCTTCCCACTCATACAGGAGGGAGGGTCTTATCCACTGCTTTCCTTTCAGTCAAATCTCACCCATACAACCACACATTTGAATGTCTCCCTTAGTTTGCAAACTGTTCACTGGAATGAAGTCTTTCTTCCAAATTCCTTTTCAGAGAGCTTTTGTTCACATAAATAAAGTGCCAATAAACATTCTCACAGAAGTCTTTTTGTGGACATGTTACTCATTTCTCTTGGGTAAACACGTAGGGGTGGAATTGCTGGGTCATAAGCCTGATGTGTGTTTAACTTTATAAGAAACTGCCAAACTGTTTTTCAATGGTAGCTGTACCATTATATATTCTCACCAGCAGTGACCATTGGTATGGTCAGTCTTTTAAAATTTTTCCTTCTAATGAGTATGTAATGGTATATCACTTTGGTTTTAATTTGCATTTGTATCCTGGCTAACAATGTTGAGCATCTTATCATCTGCTTATTGGCCATTGTATATTCTCTTTTGTAAAGTATCTGTCCAAGTCTTTTAATATTTTTATAAGATTGTTTGACTTTTTATTGTTGATTTGTATAGTTCCTTTCATGTTTTGCATATGAATCTTTTTGTGATATATATATATATCACAAATATTGCTCCCAAGTCTAATACTTTTTGATGAGCAGAAGTCAAGTTTATCAATATTTATTTGATTGCTAATTTTATTTATTTACATTTTCTAACAATTCTTTGCTTATCCAAATGTTGACAATATATTATCCTGTGTTTTCTTCTAGGTGCTTTCTGGTTTTAGTTTTTATGTTGGGGCCTGCATTTCATCTTGAATAACTTTTGTGTGTAGTATGAGAAAAATATCAAGGCTCATTTTTTTTTTATATGGATATCCACTTGTTCCAGCAGCAGCTGTTGAAAAGTCTTTCCTTTCCCTCATCAAATTGCATTGGCACATTTTGTCATAAATCAATTAACCTTATATATGAGTCTATTTCTCACTTTTTTATTAAGTTTAAGTGATCCATTTGTCTATATTTATGTTCATACCATACTTTGTTAATTACTGTAGCTTTATAGTAAGTTTTAAAATCTGGTAGTATATATCCTTTAATTTAGTTTTTTCTTAAGATTATTTTGTCTACTCTAGGTTCATTACATTACCATATAA